AGAGAAGCAATGGCAGGACTTGCAGCTTCCCCAGGATTCATTGATTGGTTAATTGAGCAGTCTGACAGAATCAAGTTGCTTCCTCCCACTAAAAGTTATGATGACGAATTTGGTAGTGAATCAGATTCGACCGGTGAACAATTATCCTGGACAGGTTTTGTCTGGTAGAGCGTAAACCGCAAATCTTATTCACTTGCTACGATACATACCGCTTAGTCGCTTAACATGGTTTCAGCTTTCAGAGAGTTTAGGAGATAATTAGGAGAGTTAGAATTAATCCATATCCTCGCATTGTAACATAACATTGAAACATCAGTTTTAATTTTTAACCATTGGAAATTTGATTAATTAGTGTCAACGCCTGGATTCACAAGTCATATGTCTCTTCGTATTCTAATAAAATCGTTACGAGACTGTTTCGCCTTCCCTCACATGATATTTCCAAGACACCTCGTTTACTTAATAAAACCCTAATTTTTTTTTTACTCTAAACAGAATAAAACCCTAATCTTTGTTCCGAAGATTCCTCTTTATATGCATATTATTACTTTTACTTTTTTAGATTGCACGACTTTGGGTTGAAATGGGTTCATGCTTAGAAGCAGTTTCAACGATTGTGCAAAACTGGAGAGACCATCCTCCTTCATCTTTTTCTCTTAAGATCCAAAACTTCTCACAACTCGAGAAATCGACTGCTTTCTCTGATCATAAATACCAATCTCGTCTTTTCTCCTCTGGTGGACACAACTGGTACGGTTTGTGTTTTCTTCTAATTAAGACCCGAATCATGCATTTTTACAAGTATATTATATAATCTTAGCTAATGCAACAGGAGATTGGTCGTATATCCAAAAGGGAACGAAAAGGACAGTGGGAATGGATTTATTTCCATGTACGTGGAAATAGACGGTAAGTGCTTGATGATATTCACACCACCAACTGAAGTTTTTGCAGAACTCCGTTTCTTTGTGTACAACAAGAAACAAAACAAGTACCTTATGATTCAAGGTAGGTCAATTACTTCTCTCATGCTCATTCTCTCTCTAAATATATATACTAATCAGCAATATGTTTTATATATTGTAGATGTAGAAGCAAAGCGGTTCAACGCACTTAAAACGGTGTGGGGATTGCCCCAAGTTGTTCCATATGATACGTTCAATAACCCTGAGAATGGTTACATCTTTAAAGGAGACCAGTGTGAGTTTGGTGTTGATGTCATTGTTGCTCCTCCCCTTACCAATTGGGAAATCGTCTCATATAATCAGAAACTCCCTAATCCCAAGTTCGCTTGGACTTTGAAGAATTTTTCTGAGTTGAAAGAGAATGAGTACAAATCAAAAAGTTTTTCAATGGGAGGAAGAAACTGGTGAGTGTATATATTATAAGATAACAAAAATTTGTTGTTGGAGTAATTAATATGTATCTATATGCAACATTATGTTAACAAATTTCATAATAATTTATGTAGGTTTCTGAAGCTGTATCCAAAAGGCGACTCTAGAGCAGATGGCAAATGGTTATCTGTTTTTTTGAAATTAGCTGATGGTGAAAAACCAAAAGCAGATGAGAAGTTTTTCGTGCAAGCAAATTTGCGAGTTCTAGACCCACTTGGATCCAATCACTCGGCATGCAAAAGTATTTTCTAAAGCACGGTTACATTATTTGTGGAACATTTAAAAAAAATAGTAGTAATTTTGGAAACAAAACTACATTTAATTTAGTGGTATTTGTGAGAATTGCCCTTGTTTTTTTATTAATTGGTTTAGTAAGTAAGTCTTATACTAAGGTATTCATTTGGGCGTTTGTCTTGCTTTGGTATTCATGTTTCGTATTTTATTTTCTTGCAGTGAACGATTGGTACAATGACTTACACACAGGTTGGGGTTGGATTCAATTTTTATCTTTAGATGAACTTCGGAAGTCTTATTTGGACAAAGCAGACGCGTTGAATGTTGAGGTCGAATTTGAAGTTGTTTCTGCAGCCAAATACTCTCCTATTGTCTAAGCTCTATATTTACTTTTAGAATATCAGTTATCTACCATTATTCTACTATGGCTTTATGACTACAGTAGTACTATATATGAGGCTATGTATTAGACATTTTTTGAATCATCATTCGAGTTCTATACTTTCCATAAATTTGGTTTTATAAGAAGAGAAAATGTTATTTTTTCATAGCAGCTTATAACGAGTTAACTACAAGAAAATGGCCAGACGGAATTTCGGAAGGACTATAACTCGTCGGAAATTTGCCACCTAATTGAGACATATTTTGGGCTTAAATATTTTTCCAATCACAGTTATTAAGCATAAAACATGAGATTGTTTTCACTCAAAATACATTGGAAATTTGATTTATTATGAAGCAAGTAAACGGTGTATCTTTTACATTCGTCATTCAAACTTTTAAGATAGAAGATAAAGCTAGATTGGGGGTTGAACGTTAGAGAGAAAGAGATAGAGAAGAAGATAGTATTGAGTTTTTCTGATTGATTTCTAGGCAAAATGCCAAAGGCATAAGCTAACCTAACCGTCTTACAAATCAAGATTGGTTTACCTAAACGAAGTAGCTAAACCAAAGATTAGAGAAATTAATAAGCATAACCAATAAGCCAACAAATTCCTATCACAAAACCCTAATCTTTTATTTTCTCACATGTTTGAGCACTAATCCATGATTCGTCATCGTCATCAACTTTGAGCTTATATATGTGCCTCTCAACGCATACAAAGAAATCACTCATGAGCGAGAATACTTACCTGTTGGAGTTTGATCATTCGCTCAATTCTACACAAAAGAAAAGTGATGTCTGTAAGAAAAAGATAAAGATCAATTGAAGAAGAAATGGTGAATTGAAGAATGATCTTCACGAACCACCA